CGAAACTGTAAATTGTGATACCAAAATCTTTATTTCGCCAACATTATTTCCCTGAGCATTATCATCATTGCCTGGTCTCTTATAGACCATACATGTAATTTTACATGCAATAATCGCTATGTAAAAATTTAGAAAAGAAAATAAGTTCGTCACAGGATATGTGTTTGTCTTCATATAATGGAACAATGCAAATACCTGAACTTGTACACCAGCTCAAAATATTTACATGAATTGGAATAAACTACAAGCATACAATATAAAATAACAAATTCCTGTCATGCAGGGATGCCATGCATCCAATGCAAGGAGGACAATCTTCCATATAGATACGCCCAAGTATATCAAAACTTGAGCACTGCAAATACATGAACAGGTACACCAGCTCCTTAGTATATTATAATTCAAGATTAATACATACAAACAAAATCATCAAAAAATTCATAAGATAAAGTCCTGTAAGCATGGATGCCGTGCATCTAATGCAAAGCAGCTTAACTATCAGGAATGCCATGCATTCAAAGTAGTGTAACAGTGCTGCCCAGGTGAGAACAAAACCCAGATAACATGGCATTTGACAAGGTTTGCCATTAGCATATGAAGCAAAAACAACTAACTAATTGCAGGGATGCCATGCATCCAATGTTAAGATGAAAATATAACATATATATATACGCACCCAAGTGTTAACAAAATAAAATGCATTCAAAGTAGTGTAAAAATGCTGCATGGGTGAGAACAATCCCATGATAAACTGGCATTTGACAAGGTTTGCTATAGCATATAATACAGAAACAACAGCTAACTATTTACATGCAATGAAAAGAGGAAAATATAACATATATATACACACACCCAAGTGTAAACAAAATGAAAATGCAGCCCAGCTAGCAGGAATGCAAGGTAAAATTGCTGCATGGGTGATAACTAGAGCAAGCTAATTTGACATTTGACAGGGTCAGCCTTAAACATACAAAGCAAAAAACAACAGCTAGCAAAGTGCAGGGATGCCATGCATCCAATGCAAACAAAACTTACTCTGTTAAGAGTGATATCGGCTTTATAATGCCCCAACACTAAATTAGGAATGGGATGCAGGCAATGCTGAACCCTGTAAGGGATCCCTAAGTTCTGATCAATATCGCCCGTTATTCACGTCTCGTAGCTTTGGATGCGAATATAACGTTTAAACGCGTTAGAATGCCATCTGCCCATAGCCTGAATATCCGCCTCTGGAACACCTTGGCTAGCAGCTTCGCTTGCTGCTCCTATGCGAAAGCTGTGACGTTTATACAGGTCGGACTTGTATCCTGCCACTACTAGAGCTTGCTTCAAAATGTTGCTAAAGTATTGGTAAGAGACTGGTTTACCACTGGAAAATATATAAATAGGGCCTTCTATGGAGCCCCGGACTTTTAGAAAATGGAACAATGTCATCACGGGACACACTGATTCAGCTGGTCGGGTTTGAAGTGATAATGTCACCGGGGTGGTATTGTAGTGCCATTTAAATGAGTCAAACACTATCTTAAGCCGTGAAGGATATTGTTTTCCCTGTCGGAAGAACCGTAAATTAGATATTTTGAGAATGTTCTGTGGTCTACCATTATTGGCTATTTCCCCAATTCGAAGAAATGCATGAAATGCAAATAGAAACATGGACTTAAACAGCAGCTTGTCATAATGTGAAGCAAATATTTTGTCCAATGCCATCAGCAGCTGGTGTAGGATAGGTTTGGTAATGGGTTTTCGGAAATCTGGTTTACTTCCCCCCTTTTTTCAAACCTACCAACATTTTTCGAACTATGAAAAATTGAGTTGGATCTGTATAGCCACCAAGCTTATGCACATATGATATGGCTGACATATAGCTGGTAATTGTAGAAGGCGCAAGGTTTTGTTAAGACAAATACGCTATAAACATGACTAAGGTATTCACGTCTATGGGCAGACAGCACTCTGTATGCAGACCTGATTGGGCAAACCGTGACAATGATACAAATGCTCTGTGGTACATCTGCTGTGAGCTAGGCGTCAACGCAGAATTGACAAGCTCTAGAACTTTGGCATTTAAATATGTAACAGATTGTCCGCCAGTTGTGTTGGGAGCTTGTCAGTATGTGGAGCCGCCATACGAAACTGTGGGACCTGCAAACGAGACAGGTAATCAGCGAGAACATTTTCTTTACCCGGAATATGTTTAGCATGGAAACGAATGTTGAATTGCAGAGAAACTATGACCAGTCTACGCAATAGCACCATCATGTTTGGGTTGGGAGATGTCTGTTTGTTTATAATAGATACTACTGTTTGATTGTCCGAAAAAAACAGTACTGACTTGTTTTTGAGCAAACTTCCCCAAACTTCGAGCGCCACTGTGATTGGAAACAGCTCCTTAACATTAATGTGATATTGTTTCATGTCGTCTTGCCATTCCCCATAAAACCAGTGACGTCCAAGCATAGCACCAAACGCACTATTACTTGCATATGTGAACATATCGAGTTTTTTTGAAGTTTCCCAGAGATTGGGTAAAAACATGGTGGAATTGTTAAAGTTTTTGATAAATATCTGCCAAACCTCTAAATCAGCCTTAGCTGACTTAGTCAACCTGACATGATGGTGAGGCTTTGTCAGCCCTCTTGTTAAATCAATCAGTCGCCGTAACCAGGTCCTCCCAGGAACCACAACCCGACAAGCAAAGTTTAACAGACCGATTAAAGATTGGAGTTCTTTAAGGGTAACCTTTTGCCTTTGCAAAAATTCAGACAAAGCTGTCGATATCTTTTCCACCTTGTCACTTGGCAATCTAGCCACCATGGCTTGCGTGTCAAGTTCTATACCCAAAAAAGTAAGGCATGTGGTAGGTGTAACAGTTTTTTCCTGTTTGATAGGAACCCCCACCAGCTTACACATGTTCAGAAAATTGTTTAAAGCTACTTGGCACTGGTTAGTACTGTCGGGGCCAGTAAACAAAAAATCATCTAGCACGTGGACGACCCCTGGAGCTTGAAAATAATTTTGCATAACCCAGTGGAGGGCAGAGCTGACCTTTTCAAAGAGCTGACAAGATATTGAACATCCCATAGGTAGACA